AAAAAAAAAAAAAAAAAAAAAAATGAAGGGACCAGATTCTTCCTCTCTCCCATTCTGGCCTTGGTCGGGTGGCACATGACCTAGAAACAGCAAATCACACGCATACATAGAAAAATTCACATGTGCACACACACCACACATATACACAGCACTGTGAATCTTGCTGCCTCCCTCAGGAGTGCTGGGAAGTGTTTAAGATGGTGGTTATGGTACCTGTTAAGTAACACTGATGGCAATAGAGCAGCAGCAGTGAAGCCACAGGGAAATAGTGGTGCTAACATGGCAGCACCAGGACTGTCCAAGCCAGACCTGCTAGAGCAGCCTGGGGTGGGCTTCTGCTGCCTAGCTGCCCTTGGTCCCCCCTTCTTTCTCCAGCCTTCCCACTGACTCCTTGGGCTAATCCAAGTCCTTCCAATAAATTCCTTTCTCAGTTTCAGTTACTTTGTGTCAGCTCCTGTTGCCTGCAATTAGGAACTCTAAATGATATGCCCACTAACCCAGCAAGGATTCCACAGTGACCAACAAAATAAAATACAGCAGCACTAGAGTTATGCATGCAGTGCCACACAAGTCATCTACATGACAGCTATGTGTGAGTATGTGTCTAAAGCACATAACACAGAATAGGAAGATAAAAAATATTTACTTAATTATGTATTTGGACAATGAAAATAATTATGTTATAATCCTAGTACTTAAAGCATTAGATTTCACTCCTTTTTGCCACTTACTCCCCAAATAATCTTGGAAAGGTTGCTTAGCAGCTCGAAAATGGGGGTAATAATAGATTAATTACTTTCCTGCATTTCATTTTCCTTGTCTGAAAAACAGAAACAATACATGTATATGATATGTAGTACCCACTCCATTGGTTTGTCATGAGGATGTAAATAAAATCACACAGCAGTGTCCAGCACATAATAGGCATCTGAGGATTACAGATTCCTTTCTCAGCATCGATAACATAATCAACCTAGTCTTTGTACATGTGCAAGTTCTTCACCAGAGTGAGGCCATCTTCAGTCAGTGCCATCATTCCAGCTGTGCTGTACTCTGAAGCAGTATGACCTTAGGATCCCTGTCCCATCGTTTCTGGTTTCCACACCTACAATGCTCATGCTGTCACTTTCCACATGGGTAAATCCACTGCAAGGAGAAGGGGCACACTGGGTGTCAATCAGAGGAAAGGGTCAACATTTCAGTAGCAAAACCCTCAGCTTCTTGTACCTTCTCTTGCACCCCAGCTGGCCCCACTTCTACCTCTTGTTTACTCTGGACTTTGATTTGAGCCAAAATTCATTTGTAATAACTATTAAGTATTATCAGGGAATATTAGTTCTGGACCCACCTGACTGAATCAGAAGGATTCTAACTGGTCTAGAAACTTCTTTATAAGAGCCTTTATGATTTTTTTTAATTTTTTTGGAGACAGTGTCTTATCTGTCACTCTAGGTAGAGTGCCATGGTGTCACAGCTCACAGCAACCTCAAACTTCTGTGCTCAAGTGATCCTTCTTGCTTCAGCTGGGACTGCAGGCATGCACCACAATGCCCAGCTACTTTTTCTATTTTTAGAGACAGGGTCTTGCTCTCGCTCAGGCTGGTCTCTAACTCCTGAGCTCAAATAATCCACCTGCTTCAGTCTCCCAGAGTGCTAGGATTATAGGCGTGAGCCACCATGCCCAGCCCCTTGATTTTTTTTTTTTTTTAAAGAAACTTCTAATAGAGAAGGGGTACCTAACCTAACCTGGGGAAGTCTACGATATTTCCTCAGTAATTAGAATTAACCTTCAATTCTTGACCAGTCTCACTGCTCACGTGAATGAAAGCCAAAAGCTAATGGGTACAATCATTTTCCATGAGATCACAGTCAGACTCCAACCTCACCTTCCTCGCATGTTATCTGGGACTTTAGGTAAAATGTCTGCATTTCTAAGCCTTTCTTTCATCTGTAAAATGTAGGGAAGTCAACTGCACATGCTGGTTTTGTACATTACAGGAGATATGTCTATAACACATAACTAAAGCTAGCAATCTTGTTTTTTTTTAATGGTTGGGGATTCATTGAGGGTACAAGAAACCAGGTCACACTGATTGTATTTGTTAGATAAAGTCCCTCTTACAATTGTGCTTGCCCTCAAAAGGCAATCTTGTTTTTTGATAGAGGAAAGAGAATCTGAACTCTGGATTGTCTCACATCTCAGTTAGTAAGTGGCAGATTTGACTTATAACTCCAGGTCCTACTAATATCCTTTCTAACATTTCCTTAAGAAACACTGCTTGGTGGGCCACATATAGCCATTTAACAGGCAACATGAAGGGAAAAAAAGTGTGTATTACCTGGCCCATCTGTGTGATCCCCCAAGCAAGTGATAGCAGCTCTTGAGGATGGGATATTTATTTTCTTTATTCCACACGTAGACTCGCAAAGAGAGGTCAAAGGAAGAGGTGATAACTCGGCTTGAGTCCTTGAAACAAAAAGTCAAATGAGGTGTGGATGTGGACTCTTAATGTGGGGAGCTGTGATGTGGGTAGCAGGTATCATACTCACCACCCACAAGGACGTGATGTGCTTCTCATGGTCCTGGAAGGCTGCCAGCTGCAGCCCATATATGGTGAACTGCACCAGCTTGGAATCTGACGCCAGCAGGATTGCCTCAGAGCCAAGGCCCTTTATGAGGTGAGGTATCATAGGCAAGAGGAAACTGGCGACCTGTCGTACTTTTTGAATAAAAACACAACAGATTGGTTTCTCTGAAACAGACATGTGCCTCTTATAAAATGATGTGGTTCATGGAAAAGAGCTTTGCAGTTAGATCTGCCTTCAATCCTGACCCATGCATTTACTCCCCTGAATGTCCAGTTTATCTAAAATACTCTAAATACTGATTACAATGCCACACTTAGAGGGTGTTATAAAGACACAACGCAACACGCTCATGGTAGTGTCTGACACATAGAGCCAACTCAGTGGATGGGGCTCCCTTCCTTCTACCCTTTCCTATCTATCCCAAATGCCCACATGAGAACTGTGACACTTATGACATCTGTCAAAAACTACTGTTGAAGATAACTATCCTCTTTAGGGTATAGCAGTCCTTTTTTTTAACCAGGAAAAAAAATTACCTCTTGTGAAAAATTCATGCATTTTCTCACATGAGACAAGGGGTTATATTATACATTCTGTTTTTCCTTTTTTCCTCAGTTTCCAGGAAGCTCAGAGTAAAATTTATAGTCAAACAATGATATGAAAACAAGCAAACATAATAGTACAAAAGAAAGAATGCTAAGGACCATAGGGAAGGCTTGTCAGAGTGAAGTGGGGTTTGGGAAATAGAGAAGGAGATATAGCAGAGAGGGCTATACTTCCTCTATACTTCTTACTTTCCTACTAGACTAGAAACTCCTTGGGGATGAGATAGTTACGGCTTTTATTCACCACTGGGTGCAGTTAATACTGAGAAGAGGACTGAAGGGAAGCAGGAAGATAAGCCGGAGAGCAGAGACCTGAGTGGACAGTATTTAACATCTGAATCTCAGGGTCACACTAGCGGCCCAATACTCAGTGGGGCTCAATCACTCAACCAATATGTAAAATAACAATCAGCAAAACCTTTCTTAGGCCTTTATATCACTATATTTCACTGAAAGGAAAGGATAAGTGTTCTCAAGGAAACGTAAGGAACCTACACTGTAATCACCATACTGCAATGGTGGGGACACACAAGACCTGTCAGTGCCAGCATGGGGACTCTTACCTAGAACGTCCACTCTATCCCGGGACTTCTTGGCCCCTAATTCAAAGGTAGTGACAATCACCTCCGTGCCATTGTCATTTCCATGCACCACAATCAATCTGGCTGCCTCTTCGGGGGCCCAGCATCCTCTGGAAATCAGGTAGGCGGGGAGGGTAGTGGAGACAGGCGGCTTGTCTTCCGATGGGTACAGCAATGAGGGAATATAGAATACCTGGAGAAATACCCCTGCATAGTCACACTGCAAGTGAGGAAGGGGGCTTCTCAGACCTGGGAGCACATGGACACTGCCTATCCCTGCACCTGTTGGAAAGCTGGTATCTACCCCCACACCCACATCCCCTCACATTCTATGGGGCCTTACTCTTTTTCATACTACAGACAGACCTGAGGCTTTTCAAGGCTAATCCCAGCCCATATCTGACTGCACTGGAAACATCTGGAACTGTGATGGATGATTCAATAAATGGTGCTTCTGCTTGAGAATAGCTATGTCTACTCTTTTGCTATTGCCACCAATGTCTTCCAGTGTATTCCTTTCTTATATCTTTAAACCTTTCCTAGAACTCTAGGACTGCATTTTCAGAGAGTCCTGGCAGTCCCTCCTGTGCCTATCTGTACCTACTATTGTCTGACCACCTACCTGCCTAGTTATCAGGTCCCAGAGGCTCTCAGCCCCTTCCTACACCGTGACACCTCTCTGTTTTCTTTTTCCCTGTCTCTCTTTCTCATTTTCAACAAGACCAAAGTAAAAAGCTGACCCCTTTTAATTCCTAATTCAGACCCTGGCACTCAAAAGCTGCCTCATCTCTAGCAAATGACTAGATGTCCCTGTGCTGGGAAGCATCAGGACTCTCAGTAACTCAGGGTGTCAGAGGACTGGACTGGGCACCACTCACACAACCATAACACGGGAGGCACTGCAAAGCCCTGCTGCTCTCTGACTCTAGGCACCAGAGGCTCACTCCACATGTCATTATGTCCTCTGTACCTGACTTGATGATCTCCACTCTCGCTGAAGCTTTGTCCTCAGGTCACCAAATGGCTACTGAACATTTCTGGGATGTCCCTGAAGCCTCAAACCTATTCAAAACTGAGGCCAGGGTACTAGATCCTTCCAGCTCACAAGTAATGCAGGAGCAGAGGCAGAGGTTACAAGGGTAAGAGTCCTGAGGACAGATGCCAGTGCTGCCACTGACCCATCAGTAGCAAGTACCAGAAAAGTGAGAAAAGTGAATTTTTTTTTTTTTTTAAGACAGAGTCTCAAGCTGTTGTCCTGGGTAGAGTGCCATGGTGTCATAGCTCACAGCAATCTCTAACTCTTGGGCTTAAGCGATTCTCTTGCCTCGACCTCCCAAGTAGCTGGGACTACAGGCGCCCTCTACAACCCCCGGTTATTTTGTTGTTGTTGTAGTACTTGTCATTGTTGTCTGGCAGGCCCGGGCTGGATTCAAACCCACCAGCTCTGGTGTATGTGGCTGGCGCCCTAGCCACTGAGCTACAGGCACTAAGCCAAGAGCTGATGTTTTTGTTGGGAACAGACTCACCCACAAGGAGCAGGATGTGGCTTGCAATGAGCAACTCTTATGCCTAACTATGAGCTTGGTGCTGTGTGAGGAGCAGCTCCCCAACACGTGGCCTACCCCCCAAGCTGCCTCACACCATGACAGGCCCAAGGGAGAGGGTTCACCAGACACTAACCTTTGGGCCCAGGTGCAAATTCTCAGTAGATGCAAATACCCACTGTTGGTCTGGAGAGCAGTTGAGACTCACAGGGTTGTTGGGAAACACAGGCACTTTGGAGACCAGGTGTAGCTGAGGCACTGTCAATGTGTAAAGGTTCCCTCCTTGACAGGCCGCCTGGAGCAGAAAACAAATCAACACAAAAGCACAGCCTGAGAGGCGCCTGGGTGCCAGGCTCAGGAGGAAGTGTCATCAACTTTTTGGAAATAGTTACCTGTTTCCTCCTCTGGAGGATGGAGACAACATTTGCTTAACTGCCTCCCTCACAGTGCATGTGCCAGCTATTTTTAAGTTGTGACCTAGAATAGCTTTTCAAATACACAGGCAAAAGTGAATGCACTCAAATAACATGGAAGTCTTCAGAGCAGAAGCCTCTACTCCCTTTTCTGCAAGAGTCTAGTGTGTAACCTTCTGGTGCCCTTTCTGTTACTGGCATGGGCACACTGGGCCACAGAGGAGGGCTGTTCTGAAATGTGCCTTCTATGTTTTATATTTTTTAAACTCCTTTAAATTTTTCCACATTAGCTGTTTCTCTTCAATTTTGTACATCCTTTCATAATTCTTTACAAATTTGGTTACTACAAACACCAACTGCTGCAACGAATACATTCCTGCACAAGACCCTGAGCAGAGATGCCAGTATTTCTTCACAGGAAATTCCTAAAACTGGAATTATTAGCTCAAAGAATATGCATATTTTAGCGTTTAACAGAAAAAAAACCAACCAAGCTTTCAGAAAAGCTTCGAATTATATTCCTATTTACTATTTATAAAAATACCTATTTCTATTTATCCAACTTATTATAACATTAATCTTTAAAAATGTTTGCTCCTCTGGTAGATGCAAAGTCTTATTTTAATATCATTTTCTTGATGACTAATAAGGTTTTATACCTCTATATCCTTTTGGTTGTTCATACTTTATTCTGTGAATTAACAACTTTTCTACTAGATTTCTACTCTTCATGTAGTCTGATACAAATTCTTTGGTAAATAAGATACAGTGTTTTCTCCTAATTTCTCTTGTGTTCTAGTTTTATAATAATGTCCTTTTATGATTTGGATTTTTTTACTATTTTGAGTAAATAAAACATGTGTATCTTTGGATTCTCCATTCTGTCTTCATTTAGCCAAGGCACTACACATTTTAAAACCAAGTATATATTCTTCAGATAATTTTATAACTTTGCCTTTCACATTAAGTTGATGAATTGTACTAAATTTTTATAAAAGAGTGGGGCTGGATGCTGTTGTTCATGCCTATAATCCTAGCACTTTGGGAGGCCAAGGTAGGAGGACTGCTTGAGGTCAGGAGTTTGAGACCAGACTGAGCAACCAAGTGAGATTTGACTGCTTCAAAAACATTTATAAATTGGGCTCAGCACCTGTATGCAGTGGTTACAGCGCCAGTCACATACACTGAGGGTGGTGGGCTCGAACCCAGCCTGGACCAGCTAAACAACTGCAACAAAAGAATACCCGGGCATTGTGGCAGGTGCCTGTAATCCCAGCTACTTGGGAGGCTCAGGCAAGAGAATTGCTTAAGTCCAAAAGTTTGCAGTTGCTGTGAGCTGGAACACTAGGGCACTCTACCAAGGACAGGGCAACATAGTGAGACTCTGTCTCAAAAAAAAAAAATAGGCTCAGCGCCTATAGCTCAACTGGCTAAGGCGCCAGCCACGTACACCTAAGGTGGTGGGTTCGAATCCCCAGCCCGGACCCGCCAAACAACAATGACGGCTGCAACCAAAAAATAGCCGGGCGTTGTGGCGGGCGCCTGTGGTCCCAGCTACTTGGGAGGCGGAGGCAGGAGACTCGCTTGAGCCCAGGAGTTGGAGGTTGCTGTGAGCTATAATGCCACGGCACTCTACCCAGGGGGACAGCTTGAGGCTCTGTCTCAAAAAAAATAAATAAATAAATAAAAAAAAATAAAAAAATTAAAATTTAGCCAGGCGCAATGGCTCACACCTGTAATCCTAGCACTCTGAGAGACAGAGGCAGGTGGACTGTCTGAGCTCACAGGTTCAAGACCAGCCTGAGCCAGGAGCAAGACCTTATCTCTAAAAATAGCCAGGTGTTGTGGCAGGAGCCTGTAGTTCTGGCTTCTTAGGAGGGTGAAGGAAGAGAATCATTTAAGTCCAAGAGTTTGAGGTTGCTGTGAGCTATGATGCCATAGTACTCTACCTGGGGCAACAAAGTGAGACTCTGTCTCTAAAAAACAAACACACAAAATATTTAAAAATTAGCTGGACATGTTATCTCTGACTACTACAATAAACTCTACATCCAGAAATTTGACAATGTAGAAGAAAGGGACCAATACCTAGACTCACACCATCTCCCTAGACTTAACTAGGAAGAAATAGATCTTTTGGACAGACAAATATCTAGCACTGAGATTAAAGAAAAAATAAAAAAGCTTCTAACAAAAAAACAACCCTACACCAGACAGCTTCACATCAGAATTTTATCAAACTTTCAAAGAATAGCTTGTACTATTTCAAAACACTGAGAAGGAAGGAATCTTCACCAACACGTTCTATGAAACAAACATCACAGTGAAACCCAAACCAGGAAAGGACCCAAAGGAGAACTACAGACCAATTTCACTAATGGATATTGATGCAAAAATATTCAATAAACTCTTAGCCAATAGATTATAGCTACACATTAAAAAATTATACATCACAATCAAGGAGGTTTTATCTCACAGGGATATAAGGTTTGTTTAAACTATACAAGTCCATAAATATATTTTACCATATCAGTAGGAGCAAAAACAAAGACCATTATGATGCTCTCAGCAGATTCAGAAAGGCATTTTACAAAATTTAGCATCCTTTAACAATAACACTTAAGAAAATAGGTATATTTTCTTAACTGATTGAAACCATCTATAACAAACCCACAGCCAATATCATAATGAAAGGAGCAAAACTGAAAGCATTTCCACTCAAGAACTGGAATCAGACAAGGATATCCACTATTTCCACTGCTATTCAACATAGTTCTAGAAGTTCTAGCCAATGGAATCAGACAAGAGAAGAATATTAAGGGAACCCAAAGGGGGGAAGAGGAGGTCAACTGCTCTTTGCTGATGATATGATCTTAGAAAACCCCAGAGACTCGTCCACAAGACTCCTGGAAGTGATCAAGAAATATGGTAATGTCTTAGGGTATAAAATCCATATCCACAAATAAGCAGCTTTTATATACACCAATAACAGCCAAGTTGAGAAGCAAATGAAAGACAGAACACTATTCACAGTAGCTTCAAAGAAAATTAAATACCTAGAAATATACTAACAAAGGAGGGGAAGGATCTCTACAAAGAGAATTATGAAAGCTTCAGGAAAAAAATAGCACAAAACATTAACAAATGGAAGGAAAAACAAACCATGCTCTTGGCCAGGAAGAATCAACAACTCTTGATGATGTCAGCCTAGGGAAAGGTTTTGTGAGAAGACTTCACTGGCAATGGCAACAATAAAAAAAATAAACAAATGGGACTTAATTAAGCTTTAAAAGCTTCTGCACAGCTTAAGGACGCAACAATTAAAGGAAATAGACAACCTTAAGAATGGGAAAAGATATTTGCATGGTAGGAATCTGGCAAAGGCTTGATATCTAGAATCTATAGAGAACTCAAATTAATCAATGACAAAAAAAAACAATCTACCTTTGGGCAAGAGATGTGAACAGAACCTTCTCTGAAGAAGACAGGTGAATGGCTGAGAAACATATGAAAAACGGGATCATTGTCCCTAATTATCAGAAAAATGCAAATCAAAACCACCCTGAGATACCATCTAATCCCAGTGAAAATAGCCCACATCACAAAGTCCCAAAGCTGCAGATGCTGGTATGGATGTGGAAAGAAAAACACTTTTACACTTTTGGTGGGACTGCAAATGAGTATAGTCTCTTTGGAAAGAAGTATGGAGAGTCCTCAAAGAACTCAAAATAAACCTTCCATTTGATCCCACAATCCCATTACCAGGCATCCACCCAGAAGAAAAAAATAATTTTTATCATGAGGACATTTGCACTATATTGTTTATTGTAGCTCTATTTACAATTGCCAAGATGGGTTGGGTGGCACCTATGGCTCAGTGGGTAGGGTGCTGGCTCCATATACTGAGGGTGGTGGGTTTGAACCCAGCCTGGGCCAAACTGCAACAACAACAACAACAAAAAAAAAATAGCCAGGTGTTGTGGCAGGTGCCTGTAGTCCCAGCTACTCAGGAGGCTGAGGCATGAGAATTGCCTAAGCCCAGAAGTTGGAGGTTGCTGTGGGCTGTGACGCCATGGCACTCTACTGAGGGTGTCAAAGTGAGACTCTGTCTCAAAAAAAAAAAAAAAAAAAAAAATTACCTCAAAAGACCAAACTTAAGAATTATTGGTGTTCAAGGAGTTCAGCAAGAGCGAGGGGTAGAAAAATCATTCAAAGAGATAATAACAGACATTTTCCAAAACTTTTAAGATAATATCTAGGTACAGGAAGGTCAGAGAACTTCCATCTCTTTACTCTAGAAACTATCATGCTCTTTTTAGTTTTCTGATGTTATCAAGTCGATCATATATATATATTTCCCCTTCCCAATGTTGTTAGTTATCCTTCACAAACAGTGTGCATTACATGGTCTGTCATTCTCAGAGGAGAACTATAGTTGTTTCTTCATCTATACAGCACTGACTCATTCTATTGCTCAGGCTGCAGTATAGTGGTGTGATCATAGCTTACTGCATCTCGACCCAGCTAAGACTGCCCTGATGTGTAGTAATCAAAGTCTCAAAGGTTGAGGACGAAGAGAAGATCCTAAAAGCAGTAAGTGAAGAGAAGCAAATAACATAAAGGTGCTCCAATTTGTCTGGCAACAGACTTCTCAATAGCAGCCAGACAGGCCAGGACAGAGTGGACCAGTATGTTCAAAGTGCTGAAAGAAAAAACTGCCTGATCCAAGAACAGTGTTTTCAGCAAACCTATCATTCAAATGTAAAGAAGAAACTCTTTCCCAGGCAAATAAAAGCCGAGAATTCACCACCACCCAAACCATATTACAAAAAATACAAAAGGGATCTCTTCAGTCTAAAAGGGAAAACATTAACATGTAAAT